CAATATGCTATGCTACGATACAATACGCTGCACTTCAATATGCTATGCTACGATACACTATGCTAAGACACGGTACGTCACAATGCCATGCCAATCACTTTATTGGCCTCGTAGCGCTGCAGACGTTCAGCTGCTTCCTCAGATTTATCTCACATTTCTGATCCTGTTCATCACTGAGGATCGTCTCCAAGGAGACTTTCTTCTTCTCTTACTCTCCATGCAGACGTTGTTTTAACGGTTTTCTTCTTCTCACAGAAACTTATCATAAAGATGTTTGAACTCAGGTTGTCAAAGTGTCAGTATTTAGTCTTTGAAAACCACGTGTTTCAAAACGATTCAATCTCTGTGAATAAAATGTTCTGAAACTAAACGATGAGGATTCATCACGCACTTTAAGAAAAAAAGTGAAAATGCCGAAAAGAAATACAGTTTCAAGATAATTTTTTTCAACATCTTGGCCGTTAGCAGAAAGTGTGTCGGGTTATGACTGGTTTATTATTTTTTAAACACCTGTACTTTAAATCATGAAGTTCTAAAGTTGTAAAAATCTTTTTTAGCTCAGAGTTTTTTATTCTGCGTAAAGCGTCAGAGCTTCAAACATTAGTGAGCTGCTCTGAGCGGCTGTGGATGCCAAAGGTATCCAGAATATTCCAGTAATTTGGTCGAATGTTTACGTCTTCATGCTCCACCGAGCGGCTGTCATGAGGATGAATGGAACGCCGTGTCCAGCACCATCCCCCCCACGCCTTCTAGATCCACGCTTCACTTCCACTTCAGCTGCTCATACTTAGTATTCAACTATATAAAATAAACCAATCAGCGGTGTGCGGTGAAGTCTCTGACCACTGATTATCAATCTTTGTTTTAACATTTTAAAAAATGGTTCTACCTCGATGGCGTGCTGGTGTGTCTGCAGGGACGGGCGTCTGCAGGAGAGGGATCAGATTCTGGTGATCAACAGGAGTCCTCTGGAGGCCGGGATCAGCCAGCAGACGGCCCTGAACCTCCTGCAGCAGCCGGGGGAGAGCGTGGAGCTGGTGGTGGCCCGGGACCGCCCACTCAGCGCATCATCATCACCTGCAGCTGCCATCAGCACGGTAAGAAACCACCGGGGTTCGACCTTTAACCTTTTACTGAGGGTCTAAGAAAGCTTTACCTTTGAGTCACGTCTTCAGTCGGTAAACGTCGGCGAGCAGATTGGATTGGTCTTCATCACTGATGTGTGTTTATCTCGTTCCGTCCTCCGCTGAGCTCGCAGCTGACACTTTACCTCCAGATGTGAGATGCGTTCAGACACTAAACTTTTATCTGCAATGGATTTAGAGAAACATCGTGAGATCGTTAAGGAAGTTGTCTGTGTCAGAGTAAAAAGTAAAAATGAAACGACGCTTCGAGCTCCAGCGTCACTAAAAACTCGACTTCCTGCTGTTCCATTAAAGTGAGCGTTACCGGCTGCAGGTCGGGCAGAAACAGGAAGTCTGAGTTTGCACATTCAGTCATCGTTTTATGACTCGGAATAAAATAATCTGAAAGGTTGGAGCTAAACCAGCTGCAGTGCACACACACACACACACACACTGAAACACACACACACTGACACACACACACACACACACACACACACACTGAAACACACACTGAAACACACACACACTGACACACACTGAAACACACACACACTGACACACACACACTGAAACACACACACACTGACACACACAGACACACACACACACACACACACACTGAAACACACACTGAAACACACACACACTGACACACACACACACTGACACACACTGACACACACTGACACACACACACACTGACACACACTGACACACACTGACACACACACTGACACACACTGAAACACACACTGAAACACACACACACTGACACACACTGAAACACACACACACACACTGACACACACTGAAACACACACACACTGACACACTGAAAACACACACACACCACTGAAACACACACACACACACACACACTGAAACACACACACTGACACACACACACACACACACACCACACACACACACACTGAAACACACACTGAAACACACACAGACACACACTGAAACACACACTGAAACACACACACACTGACACACAACACACACTGAAACACACACACACTGACACACACTGACACACACTGAAACACACTGAAACACACACACACTGACACACACTGAAACACACACTGAAACACACACACACTGAAGCACACACTGAAACACACACTGAAACACACACACACTGAAACACACACACACACACAGCCAAGCACACACATCCGTTAGCTTGGCTGTCACTCAAAGCGCTGAAGTGAGGGCGTCAATCATAAGTGGAGGTCACTTTGAGGCCTCGTTTCCGTATCGGAGTGAGACCTCCTGTTTATGACGAGCCGTAAGTCTTTGCTGACTTTGACTCGGATGATTTTTACGACCTTAAAGCCTTTAAAGAAATCAAGTTAGCGCCGCGCTCGCAGCATCGCTCCTGACAATATGTGTTTAAGTCTGAGGGGGAGGCGATCAATGAATGTCGACATGACGGGCGAGTCACTGACAGGTGGGAAGGGGGGAGAGAGAGAGGACAGATACAGGGACAGGAGGGAAGGTATCAGATTTAACCTGAGATAAAGGGTCAAAGGTCAGCCTGTTGTTACCTGTGTGTCTAAACGACTTTAATCAAACCAGACTTTTAAGAACTCTGTTTAATAACAGCCCATAAAGAAAGCTGCTGACGGGGACAAAAGGGGAAACGGTGTGTATGCTGAGTCATCAGTTTAGCCTGCAAAGCATTGTGGGTGTTGGAGTGTTTGCCTGGAGGATCTTCTCTGTGCTGCAGCCTCATCTTTCCTCATCAGTCTCTGATACATGAAATTAAGTTCATGAATATTATTACAGATTGTGTCCATGTTGAAGAGAATGTTTTCTTCATTTTCTTTGATTTGTTTCAAGAGTTGATGGTAAATGTAGTTAAATACAGCGAAACATCCCGATCAGTGCTGATGTACCGACAGAGGCAATGAAGGACGACGTTTCTACTGGATACTCGAACTTTAAAGGATGAATGTTCCTCATAGATCCAGTCTGTCCTGTGTAAATGTGTCTCTGAGTCCTGACTGTCTACAATGAGGGAGAAGCTCGAGTCCCGCTGGCTGTGTTGTTGTCAGAGCCGTGTTTACATGGACGGGACGGCCGGCTCCTCCCCTTGTGTATAAAAGCTGTTTTAGTCAAGAACTAGAGAGAAGAAGAAGAACATACTCACTGATTATTTGGATGTTAGTAAGAGTTTTTAGATCACGCTCATTCTGTGTCAGTTTACATGAAATGTGAAGCTACGAGCTAACTAAAGAGCGCTAACATTAGCATGCTAACACAACAATGTGAAGCTACGAGCTGACTAAAGAGCGCTAACATTAGCATGCTAACACAACAATGTGAAGCTACGAGCTAACTAAAGAGCGCTAACATTAGCATGCTAACACAACAATGTGAAGCTACGAGCTGACTAAAGAGCGCTAACATTAGCATGCTAACACAACAATGTGAAGCTACGAGCTAACTAAAGAGCGCTAACATTAGCATGCTAACACAACAATGTGAAGCTACGAGCTGACTAAAGAGCGCTAACATTAGCATGCTAACACAACAATGTGAAGCTACGAGCTAACTAAAGAGCGCTAACATTAGCATGCTAACACAACAATGTGAAGCTACGAGCTAACTAAAGAGCGCTAACATTGGCATGCTAACACAACAATGTGAAGCTACGAGCTGACTAAAGAGCGCTAACATTAGCATGCTAACACAACAATGTGAAGCTACGAGCAACTAAAGAGCGCTAACATTAGCATGCTAACACAACAATGTGAAGCTACGAGCAACTAAAGAGCGCTAACATTAGCATGCTAACACAACAATGTGAAGCTACGAGACTAAAGAGCGCTAACATTAGCATGCTAACACAACAATGTGAAGCTACGAGCTGACTAAAGAGCGCTAACATTAGCATGCTAACACAACAATGTGAAGCTACGAGCTGACTAAAGAGCGCTAACATTAGCATGCTAACACAACAATGTGAAGCTACGAGCAACTAAAGAGCGCTAACATTAGCATGCTAACACAACAATGTGAAGCTACGAACTGACTAAAGAGCGCTAACATTAGCATGCTAACACAACAATGTGAAGCTACGAGCAACTAAAGAGCGCTAACATTAGCATGCTAACACAACAATGTGAAGCTACGAGCTAACTAAAGAGCGCTAACATTAGCATGCTAACACAACAATGTGAAGCTACGAGCAACTAAAGAGCGCTAACATTAGCATGCTAACACAACAATGTGAAGCTACGAGCAACTAAAGAGCGCTAACATTAGCATGCTAACACAACAATGCAGGACACAGGTGATTGCAGCTCGAGCAAAGGACGATTTTGTCCGCCGCCTGTGCTTGACTCCTTTGTGCGAGTGGAGGGGCGTTGGAGGTGTGTCTCTGGAGATGATCTAAGCTGATTGGTCTCTTTGGTTTGAACGCTCAGACAATTTCTTGAGGACCAACTGAAGAACCTGAACTCTGGTCCGCTTTCAAACTGGGTCTCCGTTCGCTTCCTATGTGCACCAGAGTTCAGTTAGCCTAACTGAGGGGAGGGAAACGAACAGCAGTGCATTGTGGGTTGAATTTGTCAGTCTGTAATCCATGTCAAATAGGTTTGCAAAATGTGGCTAACGTTAGCATTGCTAACAACAGCAGCCTTCAGTCCTCCCTGCAGGTTAATGTCCACATGTCTGAGCTAAATGTGGTTACTCATCACTAACCCGACACAGCAGAGATAAAACTTTATCTCCATTTCATAAATCAACATACTGACAAACTGAGCTACGCTAAGGGTAGCTACATTCTTCTTCTGTTCTGTTGTTTACTTCAGGGTCATAGTTCAGCTCTAAGCCGGATGGTAGCAGCTACTGACCGGAGCTACAGCACCAACTAGTGGTGGGAGGTGATGGTACAAAATGAGGTTTACAAAGTGTGAATGCAAACTGAACCAAATGAAAAGTTGTTATAACTTCACCCCCTGAATGGCAGCGAGTCCACCGGACGTCATGAAAGAGACTTAAAGCAAAGAGGGGGGAGGAGCCACCGCTGCAGAGGTCGATGTTTTCAAGAGCAGAAAGAAGAACCTTAAACAACACACTGAGTAAATGTTAATGTATGTACCTCCGAGGTTCATGATGTGAAAATATTTAGAGACTTCTTTGACATTTAAAAAAAAAAAAATGAATCAGAGGCTCGGAGAAACGAGGCGCTGGCACACCGGAGCAGGACTGTTAATGTGAGATCACAGGTTAGCCTGCGCCGTAATCATCCTGCCCTCGCTCCACTGTCGCTCATTATCACACAGAATTACACTGTCCCTCTTGTTTGTCCCCCCCCCTCCTCCTCCTCTCGCCTCATTGGATCCGGGCCACGTCCTGCATACCAGGCCCCCCGATCCCTCCTGCTTTTGTTTTATTCATGTCCCGTTTCTATCGAGGTCACGTTTAATGGAGCTGCGGGCATAAAAAACACAATTCAGCCCGAGGTTTTATTGCTGTTCTCCTGGCCCGGTCCGCGATCCGTCTCTTTAAGACTCCTCTCTGCTGGGCGGAGCGAGGCGGCTCTGACCCGCCGTCACAGCCGCTGTTCTTCCCCCCGGCATCGAACCTCTCGTCTCCCCTCTTTCTCTGCAGGAGTCTGTGCGCCGCTGACAGGAAAAGATGTCTCTCTTAAAGACGGGTATAAATCAAACCAGTTAGAGATGATTTTACAGCTCTGGTCTTGTTTAGCGCATATTTTCCCAGCGTGGATTAGGACAGCGTGTCAGTGGATGCACTTTAGAGTTTGCAGTTAATTTATGGCTCTCCTAAAAATGATGAAAAGCAGAAAGAAAGGAGATAAAAGCTAACAGATTGAGCAATTAAAGAAAGCTGAAGGGGCTTTTAAAAACACCTCGGCTGAGAGGAAATAGACTCGAGAACAAACCGGATGAAGTTTATAAACTTTTACTGTCAACTCCTCTTAGTGATCAAAAGCAGCGTTTCCTCTCTCCTTCCCCTGGGACCAGGATCCTCTGGAGGAGCTCGCTTAGCCACAGGGACCAGGGTCTGGATTAAGTTCCTGGGATCTGATTTTGACCTCCAAAGTCTCTGCTCTGAAGGTTGAATTTGTGTCAATGATTTCTGAATGTCAGAAGACAACACAGCGTGCTGTTCATCCTGCTCGGGCTCAAACATCTTTCAGTTTTAGTTTTAAACACACAGTTTATAGACTCCACCACCAGGGGGCTCTCCATCAAAACAGCGTAACATAGCGCTCGCCCCCTGGCTCAGCTGATCCCGCCCCCTCCCTGTAACGCCTTTAACCTCTAACTTTACAACTTTTTCTGTGTGAGAGCGTCTTTTAAAGAGACTTAAAGGATCCTCCGTCACAGCTCTTAAAGGCGAGATGAAAATCGACTCGTTGACGTTTGAAAAACCACACTTAGGCCCCGTGTCCACCTGGATGCACATCTGCAGCGAGCATCGTCTGTATCAAGTTTCTTAAAGAGTAACTAAATGTGAATCAGCTCTCCATGGCTCACCGTGCTCTCTCAGGGGAACCGATTGATTTAAAGTGAATCAGGAAGAAGAAGTTCTTACATCAGTCAGTAACCGACCGTAATCTGCAGAAACAGACCCTCTGCTGGGAGGAGAGCGACACCTTCAACATGTTCAGAGGAGGAGGAGGAAGAGGAGGAAAGGAAGGAGGAGGAGGAGGAGGAGGAGGAGGTTTGTTTCATTAGACAGAGGAAGACCCCTCTATCAGATCAGAGCTGTAATAAGACACCAGAGCCACCTGTGATTACAGCCCCCTCATAAAGTCAGACTGTGTGTGTGTTGCAGCCTCTCATTGATCAGCAGCTGCTATCAGACAGGAGGAAATGCTCTCAGGTGGTAATTACCTGCTGAGGTTCAGTTTAACCACCTTTCACCCCGGGACAGATAGTCGACCAGCCGCTCGCAGAGTCTGCTGCTGACCCACAGAGGACGAAACACACTCAAATAAATCACTGAGATTACAACCATTCATTCATAAATGTGTTTGAAATGAACCTGGTTTGACTGAGTCATCTAAAAAATATGTCTCCAAATGACTGAAATGCAGATCTTAGCGAAGCAGAGAGTTCACGATGATGGTCAGGGCTCAACGACCGGCCACATGAAACGTCCCCCCCCCCCTCCTCTCTAGAGTGGATGCTCACTCAGGTCACCATGTGGTGGACTCTGAAGCTTCAGTGTTTATCCAGCTCTGCATGGGTCTGTAAACCTTTCTGTGTTCTAACCTCTCCATTTTTCAAAAGCATCTCCAATATTGATCCTAGTTTGAGCACGTTTCTGCTCGTGGAGCTTATTAGAAACATGCAGAGGCTTTTTAGGTCGGGTACAATCACTTCTATCTGAACCACTTCTCTTGACCGCTTCCATCGCTGCAACACCTGTTGACCTGATAACTGCTCTCATATCTGACAAACTGAGGGGCGTCCAAAACGGCCGTGGGGGGGGGGGTGTCTTAAAAGCGCCTACCTTCTCTGGTCCAAACAAATCCAGAGCATTCAGAGCTTGTGTTTTATTAGTATTGAGTTTCAAACTGTTTTCCACTCTGCAGGATCAGTGGGGTCACCTGGAGGAGATCGAGCTCGTGAACGATGGATCCGGTTTGGGCTTTGGCATCGTGGGAGGGAAGACGAGTGGGGTGGTGGTCAGGACGCTCCTATCAAACAGCGTGGCCGACAAGGTAAGTTACCATCAGCTGATCACAGAGTCTTTGCTGTTTTTATTTTTTTAAATATAAATGTACAAAGATGTGATGAAGGTGGAGCTTTGTTACCGTTCTGTTGAGGAATCGAACTCATTCTTAAATGTAGGAAATAAAAACAAGAGGATTAAATTAACGAAAGTCTAAAGGTCAAGTTAAGGTCAGGTGAAGACCCGGGTCGTCTCTTTGTAATGCCTCGGTGATGAAACAGCTGAAGGTGTAGTCTCCCCTCTCCTCCAATCAGGACGGGCGTCTCCGCACAGGTGACCACATCCTTCGCATCGGGGCGACGCCCACCAGCGGCCTCACCAGCGACCAGGTGGTCACAGTGCTGCAGGGCTGCGGCAGTCACGTGACCATGCTGATCGCCAGGGATCCCAGGGGTTCAAGGTCATTGGCCCCGCCTCCCCCGCCGCCTCCAGACTCCGCCCCCGTCTCCTCCTTACCCCCCCGACTACCGGAACTGCCCCCCCAACGCCGGCTCAGCAAGACGGTGAGTTAGATTTCTCTGCTTGTTGGAAACACGGCGGTCCAAGCTGAAATATTTCAACTCTTTGTCCGTTTTTTTAATTTTGTGTATTTCAGCCGAACCTGGAGGGGTACGAGATCCACGAGGTCTCTCTGACCAAGAAGGACGGGCAGAGCCTCGGCATCTCAATCGTCGGATACAACCCGCTGACCAGCCAAGGTATGAGAGGAGATCATCACAGACACTTCAACACTTTAAGAAACAGACACAGCAGGACAAAACAGATAAATCACAAAAGTCTGTTCTCCTCCAGCTGGAAAAAATATCAGCCGTTCAATCATTACAACTTTTTATATTGATTTATTTATCTCTCTCTCTCTCTCTCTCTCTCTGTCTCTCTCTGTCTCTCTCTCTCTCTCTCTCTCTCTCTCTGTCTCTCCCTCTCTCTCTCTCTCTCTCTCTGCCTCTCCTCTCTCTCTCTCTCTCTCCTCTCTCTCTCTGTCTCTCTCTCTCTCTCTCTGTCTCTCTCTCTCT